CACCTGTTCTACCTATCGAGTGACGAAAGAATAGAATCTAGTAGTAGATACTTATAATTACTCTGAAAATAAATAGTTATAAAAATAAGCGAGCATTTTATGCTTAAAATACCTTAGGTAAAAACTTAATTAGTTTGCACCACTTACGGAGTGTGGAATGTGTGTGGTCTCTCTTACTACATCATAAAAGCGTACGTCTAACAAAAGATTTAACTATCGTGTAAAAAACATTAACGACAACTTGTTAATTGTAATATATGCGAAGTGCGATAGTTCGATAAAAAACACGTGGATCAATAAATAAAGGTGCAACAAGAGATTAGAAATAGGATAAAAGACGAGATCGAAACTAATCGATCCGCCGACGATCATCGTTACCGATCGTAGAATAAATAACTGTGCTAAGAATCTGATCTCTCCGCGAAGATACATTAGGTACATTGTCCGATTCGTTTTTCTATTTCATTTGCGCAATCACAATTCCTCTAGTCCCACGCCATTCCTATCCTCACAACCGATCACCCATCCACACCACCCTTACCCAATCGACATGAAATTTATTCACAGCTTTACGCACTGTGGAAGAGACAAGATATTTTTACAGTTAAATACATATTTAACGTGAAAATACGAAGAAACGTAAGCACTCACGGTTTCGGCACATTTAACTTAAAATCGAGAAAACCCTTTTTGTACTCTTCTATAAATTTGTTCGCATCTATTTTTTACTTATTATCTAACGACGATCGTACGTTCCAAAAATTACGCGCGAACATACTTTGTGGAAATCCGCGCGACGATTGAAAGCATCGGAATCGTTCCTTGAAACGAAAACGCGCACGAGACACGGGGTTCGAACAAAACGGCACAACGTCGTCGTCATCGCTATATCGTCCGCTTTCCGGAGTAAAATAGCTGTAGACGGAAACGCGAGAAGCTTGGGTCAGAAATTCACTCGAACAGAATGAAACCGTGAGCAAAGATTGAGATTCTTTTCCGACCAAAATGAATCCAGTGGCACTATATCTGCGCTGCTCTTACATCAATACTTTACGATACCGAAACGCCGGTCAAAAATCTTATACTATTCGCGACGCGTCCTTTTTGGACGTTGACTAACTCCAACCTCGTCGGTATTACGCGATTTTTTACCGATTTGTACCTGGCTCTGTGCGGTTAGCTGCAACGATATCGCATGCGTGTTTAACTTTTCAGCCAACAACAAGTCTTTCAGACCCTTCATTTTCTGACTGTACAAAGTTATCCTTGGTCTTTCGTGTTCGGAATCAGTCTCTACCTCGGGATCAAGGTTCTCCTGGGAAGTGGAAGGTGCGGGAGGTAAAGCGTCATCCGACGGAGCAACAAACGGTTCCCCGCCACCCTGCAGCAGGTAATCCCTATTAAGTATCTTTTCGCTACAGGCTGCCGTCAACGCTTGAATACTAGGATGCATCGGTGCTGGGTTAGGAGGTACTTTAGACTCTAAGCTTTTGATCAGGTCGCGGGCCGCGTTGCCCCTCTCTTTAGTTTTACAGTAATTGTTGTTATTATTGTTCAGTGTTTCCTCCGGACTTGTCTCCCTTTTCTGCGATTTTTCTTCTTCCTGTTTCGCTTCCACGTCATAACAATCGATAATTACCTGAGCACGAATACTAGCGTCGAACTTTGAAATGGTATTTACCAATGGTCGTGCCCATCCTATGTGTAATACCGGCGTGTTTGCTCCTTCTTCCCACTGACAAATTCCGTCATAAAACCTCAACAAATAAGCGAAACAGCGCGGTTGTCGTAACAAGCGTTCATCGGCTCGTACCGTATGAGGTATAAGCTCGTTCGCTATTTCCAACAATTCCTTGTATATCTCTCCATCGTCCCTCGAATAGTCATACCTATTGCACATTAGAATCGGAATAGTCGTCGATTACAAATTCCGTAATCTCATTTCGGATGTCATATTCTCTGTCGATTGCTACTTACTTCCTTAAAACATCTGCCGCGTCTGCCCATGATGACAACGCATTGGCATGCAATCCGTGTCTATACAAGTAGCCACCTTGATAAGTATATGGATACACGTGAGCATTTCCATAATATTTCCTCGCTGATCGTATAGCTTCCTAGAAATTACACGTTAAGAACATATTACGTGCATTCTTTACTAAAATTATTAACAAGTTCAACTACTAGTACTCGTTCGTAACTTGTAAAATACCTGAAAGAGATCTATGGCAGGAGGCCTGCCTGGAGTTGGAGCTGCTTCCTCGAGATCTCCCAGATTACCAAGAGCCATAGGATACTTGGCGAGATGACCCAAATCGTACAACAGCCATAACAGTTCTTGTTGAAGCAATGCAACCTCAGCTGCATCCGATGTAGCGCTTAAACTAGGATTTATAGCCGATACTATGGTGGCGACTTCCATTGCTCTAGAGCATACTACAGCTTGTCCGTTCACATATAACCACGACCGAGAAGCTACACCAGGTTCCACTGGTTGGCCACGTTTATCCTCGTTTCCCTTTCCTAACGAAAGACATACGATCAGGTTTAGTGGTTATCAAATTGCATCAGGTTCGATATCTTTCTAACTTCAGGTATGGCTTACCATGCCAAGTAACTTCAGCAGTTTCAGTTCCATCCTCCCCGTAAACCACCCAGGCGTGATCTTCTGACATAGCAAGGTGTACATCTTTAAATCCCAATACCTGACAGCCGGCAACCACGGCAAAGGCAACGCCGAAACAATCCAATTTATTAGCTGTGAGGTAGCTATAGAGACTTTGTAAGTGCGCGCGATCTTTGTAATAGCTTCTTGTTAGAGAGTTCCATATAACGTCGGAGACTTTTTTGACGAGTTCTCTAGTCGCGTATCTCGTATCGTAAACCGTAAGATCTACCGCACCCTTAATCACTGCGTGAAACTTGGTATAAAGTGCTTCGGCAATATGAAACTCAACGGCCGGCAATTTCGGCTCGTCAAAAACAGTGGTCTCCTGCGACGCAAATGTTCTATTGCAGGTTAGGGAATTCTCGACTGCACCGACGAGAATCGAGAGCAAAGCCAAATCTGGTTCCGAGCTGTTTTCTAACTGATTTTGGAAGATTCGTACGATCGAGGAGATGCTCTGAATAGGAAATAGTGCCTTATCCTCGTCTCGAAAACCCGCCATGTCGCGACTGGCAGGCTGAACACACGAGATCGAGATCTTTGCTCAAACCACGAGTGTCATCCTGTTTCACGTTTATCTTGACAGAAACTCTCGACGAAATCGTGTGATCCGTGTGACTTCCTTTTCCTTGACTAACGATATACGCTAGTCAATGTCGATTTTCTTCTTCTCAATGCGAAACTTTTACATTTCCGCATCACAAAACGAACCACAACCGTATATCACCTAGCGGCGCGCCGCCACTAGGACCGTTTCCAACACTGCTCTATCATACAACAAAACGAAAAGGCGAGTTTCTGCGCGAGCGACGTCAGTTCAACGTAAATTAAACAATTACCGATACGCGCGTTTTACGTTCTAGAATTTTCCACAGAATCAGTGCACTAATTTAAGATACCTTCAGCTCTCGAAACATCTATTTCTCCATATATTCACATGGTGTTCAATTTCATTTATCTTCAATTTTCTTTATACTTTGATATTCATTTATATAAATTGTTCATGCACATATATACGACCAACAGTATATGGTAGCTAACAGTATATGTTAGCTGGTATAAACGCAGCAGGTACATATGTACATTAACCAATTAAATGAAATATTTTCTATACAATATGTTCAACTATATTATACTTTATTTATTTATTACTATAACAACACAAAACATACGTAAAACAGTATTAATTATCTCAAACAGTATGTTGTTACAATTGTCTCTCTAAATTACTTTTCATCTTATTATATGTATATTTGTCTTTAAAATGTTTTTTAAATGGGAGTTATTGCGATTTCAATTCTATTATTCTAGGAATGACTTTCGCCCATTTCTATCTTAAATCCATATTTCCAATTATTTCAAATAACGAATACTTTTTGTCGTATTTATATCTACTGTTGCAATCCGGCACAATGCACGCACGAGACATCTTATCATAAATTTTTCTCGCAATTACAGTCACGATCGTATATTCCACTCGTTTCTCCTTTCTATTCGAATGTATGGCGGCCTAGTGACAGTTTCTGTTGCCCGTCGCATAGCGGCGTAGTTGTTGCCGGACTGTAGTGCAGCATTCGTTAAGACATTTTCAATCTTAAGTCGTCTTTCATAAACGGTTTGTCTTTTGTGATTTATAAAATATCGGTATAACATATATTTTTCACGGTGCTTAATTTACAGCGTGCACTCACTGGTCAACGCTTTACGTAATAAATTGTTTCGTTGCTGCGTACAATAAAATGAAAGTCACGATAAAAAGTAAGTATTCAAATTGGAATGTTCAACCTGCTCGTAAGTACATTTCGTTTATTTTTGCAATTACCGATAACTAGGCGTATGAAGCAGATACAAGTTGCTATATCATTTGTATTATTTATTTACAGTTTTCGTTATCATTTAATCGTGTATATTAAATCACGAACCGCTAGATACAGAAGTAAACAATTGTAAACATTTTTTAAGGTTGGACTGGTGTTGCCACCTGGCGTTGGATAGCAAACGATGACAATTGCGGTATATGTAGAATGCCTTTTGATGCCAGTTGTCCAGACTGTAAGATTCCCGGAGACGATTGTCCTTTAGGTAAGTTTAATTTAATTTCTTGAATTAGCGAAGATCGAAGCTCGATACTCGGGTATAACTGATTAAGCGCGTTTATCGAGTGAAAAAAAATGAAAACACGAAGGTATCGAACGATTGTTTGGTTTATCGAATCGTTTATTTTTTGCGATTATGTAGTAACGAAAGTAATAGGGAAAATAGCGCAGAGAAAAGATGGATGAGAAACGACGAGGGTTCGATAGAGCGAAGGTTTGTAAAATGCCGCGACAGCGTTTGCGCAGCTGTAGACATTAATATCGATCGGTGTGCCGAATGAAACGGATCGCTCGCACACGATACCTCACGTTCTGACGCGCGCGTACTCGCGCGTGTCAATGTAAACTGAACAAAGTCTGGTGATTACCGGTGGTTATCGATAACATAAAGTGTGTGTGTCCACGATACTTAACCGAGGAAGAAACGTTTATAGCGTAAAAACGTTCTATACTGTTCCAGTTTGGGGCCAATGCTCGCATTGCTTCCACATACACTGCATCATGAAGTGGTTGCATTCCCAGCAAACCAGGCATCTCTGTCCGATGTGTCGTCAAGAATGGAAGTTCAAGGAGTAGTTGGTTTGCCGATAGTCCCGCAGGTGTCAGCACGCAACGAGTAATCAGGTAATGTCGTTCATTGTGAGTCGTATGTACCAAGGGAATTCATTCGAGGCGAAGCACTCCATCAATTTCTATTCGACGAAAACGTTAGCTACCGTTCGCCATCGTTTCTTTCCACATTATGGCCATTGTTGCACGTTCTTTGGAAATTCTCGATCTCTTACAGTAAAAAGGTGGCATATTTTGTCGCAATTTAACTAAAAAAAGCGTAACGACGAAATAGGTTTGCTTGGCGTACATACGTACTTGCGTGTACATACATATATTGCCGTTTCACGTACACCGCCACCTTTTAATTCTCCCTATGAAAATTTGCCGACTTTCGCTTCTACGACTTCGCTTCTGTTCTGTGCAAAGTTCGTCTAAAACGATTCACGACCACGATGCAGGTCACGAAACAAAGCTTTACAATTAATCGACCGTTATCGTTGTTAAATTCTATGAGTGGACATAATCGTACAGCGATCAATGGACAATTGATTCTTAGCAATTACTCGTGAATCCACGATGGTTCGATGAAAACCGCTACGGAAACGGAATTGCCCATTATTAGCGAAAATTACTCAAAATTAGCAGTAGTAGGGTGCCGGGAGATTTCGTTGGAAAACATGATTCGGTTAGATCGCGTCGAATCGCAGAGTTAACGGTGCATTTGGATGTAATAAAGAGATTCTCGTAGCCCGCGCTTACGTAACAGTATTTCACGAGTGCGAACAGTCGTTATGCGAATGCAGTATCACATCAGGGAAGCTCTCTTGTCGATCGTGCGTAATTTAATACCGTGCGATGCACATTTTACGATACGCGCGCGCGTTCTTTAGCGAATTTATTTATGGTAGCAGTGTTATCTAACGCCATCTAATGCCATACGGCTGGTGTGCAGCGAGCGCAGCTCTTTGCGGCGCAATCCGGAACATTCGCAATTTCTGTGACTGAACCGCGCTCAACAAAATTTCACTTTACCGATTTGTCATTTTTCTCGTCTACTTTTTCCACTAATCGTGAACATCGTCTTGCAAGAGAATATCATAAGTAAGATTTTTGAGGTGACGCGTCTCGTGTTATCGGATTATCGGTTAATCCGGAATCGAAAAATCGACGACTTTTATACGATGCAACGCACAACAGTTTGCAAATGTAGGATCGATTCGGCTTCCGTGCGAACGAATTAGGGTGAAAGTAGAACGAGCGACTGTTCTGTACGTCGTGAAACAGAGTGCGAAATTCGAAGGTACACGTATATTCGCGCAACATCGTCGCACGACCATCGTTATTTCACAAATATATATTTCGTGATACACTGTAACGATCAGCATGTACGAATGCTCGACAGCACTTTGAGGAACCTAATTACAAGTTGTATCGAAATGGCTCGAATGTTTTGAGAAAATATTACCAAATATGGGCTTTATCGATGTAATTGCATTCTTTAAATTTTCTACTACCGTGTATCTATATACACAGCTGCGTAATCGACTCGTTCTTTCCATCTTCGGGCCTGCGAATAGTATCGCGATAGTAGTCGCAACCGTTTCAGTCCGCAGGCCTTTCCGGCGTGTCCTTTTGCTAGCTGACTGGTTGTCCGGCTGGCTGGTGGTACACCGACGTGCCATTTCGCACACGTATACATGATCGGGAAAGATAGGCGCGAAGGTTCGGCGTAGCACGTCCATCGTTCGGTTGTCTATCCGATGCTGCTGCCTCGAGAACTTGGGCTGGAGCTCGAGTTCGAGCTCAGTCACGTGGTTCCTCGAACGCGAAGGATGTTTGTGGGATCGCGGAGTCAGTTAGCAGCGGATCGTTCAGCGAGTAACCGAGAGAAACGGAGCATAGAACGCGCTACCGCGGTGGACCACTAGTCGATCCAAAGAGGGGAAAGGGGTCAAGAGACATAGGATAGAGGCGATAGCGGATCGAGGATACCAGGGACCGAGTTTCTTCAACCGAGTCCTCGTCGGTCTAACCTAAC